GATCCAATTCATAAATACCCGCTTTCCAATTATCCTCAAAAGTCAAAACGGTCAACCCTTGGTCAAAGTCAAAGTCAACTATTAATGTCAACAGTCCATATTGACCTTAACTCATTAAGTACCCTCAGCTACTCGCCGAGTTCCTTGCATAGCTTGCCAACTTGCCGAGTCACCATGCCACTTGACGAGCCCAAGGCAATCTTCATCGGACTCATCGAGTCGACCATGCAACTCGCCGAATCCCTTCGATCCTTCATCCATACAGATGCTTTTTAAGCCATGCTAAGGCCCCATACTGCAGATCCATCTTCCCAAGGAGTCGAACATGCTATGGTTTATCACATAAAGTTGCAAACTTTACGTGCATGCAAGGCTCTAATGACTCATAATGCCAAATCGAATCTTGAAATGAGGTTTTACACTTAAGGAGGGGTTTATACTTGCCAAAGTTGATAGCTTTATGGTCTTACAAATGAAAGAGAGTTCAGATTTGAAGTTACAACTTCAGATCTGACCTCATACCCAAGAATAGCTTCAAAACAAATTTAAGAAGCCCTAAACTTCATACAAAGAGATCTAGAAAGGAATGAGGCCAATATCATGAATTGATACCTCAAATGAAGCTAACTGAGATAGATTTTGTAGATCCACATGAGTCCCTTGCTGCTAGCTACTTGACTTTCAAACTCTCTTCACAACTTCTACCCTGTAAAGCTCAAAAACATAAACAAATGATGTTCTTACACACTGCAAAGGGACTAAGAGAGGCTAATGATCCCTTAAATAGGGTGCCAACCCCCGAAAATTAGGGTTTCACCCTCCAGCTCCAACTCGTCGAGTCACTCTTCCGACTCGGCGAGTTGGTCACTTAAACACGTGGCCCAAACCCGTTGCTACTCGACGAGTCAGACAACCAACTCGTCAAGTAGATCTTGAATTCATGAGATTTTATAACCATAAATTGGTATTCGAGGATCGGGGCGTTACACCATCGCTTGTGAATCACGATGAACCTATCAAACCGATCACCATCGTCTTTGGAATCCTTTCGACTAACATATCAATGACGCCCCAACGAACTAAAATCAGTAACCGAGAGCACTCTCCCCTCCCTTGCTCTTAACTCCGACGAACATACACCACCATCACGCTTCTCCTCTCGTTCTCTATTCTCTAATCGATCTCAAAATTATATCAGAAAAAAATAGATTTTTGTTTATAGGTTGAGTCTACAGAAAATGAATTTTGTGGAGGAAGGTCATCTTGTTCAACTCTCAACTTTGGTTTACTTTGATTTTTAATTTCATCATGTTTTCATTTGAATTATGTTTGATTTAGGATTTAGTTTTCTAATGGATTTGTTTGCCAATTTTTTCAGATTTTTTGGTTGATGCAGGTTCATCTATGTAATTTTTTTTAGTGTTTTGATTGTTCCCATTTTGTTGAAGAATAAGGGAAAGTGGTTGTCGAAGATTTCACCAGAAAGAGCGAAAGAGAAAGAAGGGGAAGCCTTGAATAATCGATATGAGATATAGGTTTCAGTTATCCATTTGTTCATCAACATCATTGTCACGTGCTGGCAATGCTTCAAAGCAGTAAATCAAAGAGTTTGGGGAAGGGTTTCTGGTTAGGATTTTTGATTCTAGTATGATATTGAGTTTAATTGGTTGAATGTCTAGTTTGAATGAATCAATTATGGCTTTGATTTATGATTTGATTTCAAGTTTTAAGTTTTGATTTTAGATTTTATTTTTGGTTTTAATTGATTCAATGAGGTTTTTATTTTTTGATGTAAGAGATAGTGGCTATTTGTTCTTGTAGCGCAGTGATGGTGGCAATTAGTTTCTTCTTGGTGACATTTTCCGGCAAGAGAGGAAACCGGGTGAAAGAGGGATAAACGGATGATGTGTAATTTATTGATTAAATTATAATAATTAATTTTAGAAGTAGCAAAAAATAATATACTTAAATAAAAAATATATTAATAAGAACATAATAGTATTTTTAAATAAAACATAAAAAAAATATAATAAAAATAAATTATAAGAACCTAAGAACCGTTTGAATTAAAAAAAATAAATAAATTATTCGAAAGCATAATTTGTAGAATTTACTCGGGTAACAACCAGTGGCTAAAATAAAAAGGAAGAAATTATCTTTTATTTTATGGTCTCAAAATATGGTGTCACGTGGGGCATCTATATTCCTAGAAGATAGAATAGGAAAGTGAGAGCTCCGTATTTGCACATGCGAGCATTCATTGTCCATAGACCATAGTCGCAAGTTGCGCCTTGCTATCCTCATCAATAAAATTCTATGATCCTTCAAAAAAAAAAAAAAAGTAAATAAATAAATGTCAATAGCCAAGTTGCAAATAAATACCATAAGTCCATAACCCACAATGATCTTGATTAGATTATGCAACTTTTTTTTTTTTTTTTTTTTTTTTTTTTTCTTCTAACTAGCAAATGAACGACCCAGCAAGATGCTAGTCAGCGAAGGAATACAAGTAGATAATTAGGAATAATTACAAACTTATAAAAGGACTTATGCTCCAATATGTGCATTTTAAACTTCCATTTCTCTTCCTATGTTTAAACCATAAGAACCTAATTGCTTTTATGATATCTACCACCTTTGTTGTCGGTACTTTGTGTCACCCGCACAACATTTAAACCCACTTTTTTTTAAAACAAATTAATGAATTTAAACCCACTTTTTTTTAAAACAAATTAATGAATTTGTGAGTTTCAGATTTCCTTTTATATATATATATATATATATATATATATATATATATATATAATATATATATATATATATATATATATATATATATATATATATATATATTCTTAAAAACTTATTGTTATTTTTAGAAAACAAATTAATAAACTGTATTAAATATTTACAATTATTAATTTAGTACAAATTTTATAAATGATTTATAGATTATATTTAAAAGTATTATACATATATCAGTATTTTAATTAATATGTATTAAATATTTAATGCAATGATGTGTCATACAACCAATTTTGAAATAATGTTAGACTAAGAGTAGTGGTAACATCTTATTTTTGAATATTTAGTATTTAATCTTAACATTTGATAGGGAGTGGTAACACTCGTATCACTCCATTTTTTTTATATTTTTTTTACTGATTTAATTTAATTACTTTATTTTAATATAGAAACATTATTTATACATAAATATTAAACAAATTTTATTTTTTTAAACCACAAGCAATTAATATAATATTTGATAATCAACGATATATATTTTACCAATGTTAAATAAGTTTGAATGTTTGATAACCAACGGTATACGTTACAAAATATTGATATATCACTAATTTAACTTGTTTTATCAATATAATTTTTAAATTTAATTATTTATTTGTTTTGTAATTAGTTATTATTATTATTATTATTATTATTATTATTATTATTATTATTATTATTATAAATGAATTTGTATCATTGTGATACCTTCTTTACAAACAATCTTAAAACTCAAGGAAGTAAGTCTTAAGGTAAAGTAAAACTACAAGGACCATTCAATAAATATATTATATTTCATCTACTTTATCTTCTCTTTGAAAAAACAGACGCTTTATCTTCTTACTTTTGGAACAAAATCACCATTTTTATTGCAGAACAAAGTTTGTTAAATTGTATTCATAAATTGAATTTTGTCAAGCAAATTAGTAATCCAGTTGAGCCACACACCGACCAATCCCATTCATTTCTCACCTTCTCTCTTCTCGCCAACACACTGACGAGCGCTAGGGGGCGGTGTTCCAAGTTGCTTAGCAGTTTGACGATGGTAATTGGCGGGCCACTCCGCTTAGCCTTATTGTATCCATATGAGATCAATAGTTATAAAAGCCTACAAAGTTAGATTTGAAGATAAAAAAATATATACACAACAAAAATGGAACAATGCATGAGGACCTTTTTTGGACAAAATCAACAGATGGATGAAACCTGTGTTTATGAGCAAAGCATAGGGATCATATTTGCAATCTACTAAAATATATATCATCACTGGTTTTGAAGAGTAAGGGCATCCACAAACCATGAGGACCTTCCCCTCTCTCGTCGTCTCCCTCCCTCGTTGACTCATTCCCCTGAAAACTTACTGCCGTACCCTCTGTAGGTTCCACTCGTCTTCCTTCATGTCTCGTCTCACTTGGTTCGTCTTCTATCCTCGTTGCTTGTTGGTATGTAGTGAAAACTTGAAATTTCCTATATGTTTTACAATTCGTTTCATATGAGGCACGAGTGGATTTTGTTGTTGTTTCTACAATGGTATTTGGTGTTAGTTTGTTTGATGATTATTCCGCTGAAATTTAGATGGATTTTATTTAAACAATAGTAGGGGTGTTTATGGTGGGTTGATCGGACCAAAATACAGGTTTCGTCAGTCAACTGAATTTAATGGTTTAATATCTTCTTGCACACAAAATTAGCCAGAAAAACAGATTAACCAATTCAAATAACCAATATTTAAACCAATCTGTACGTGGCTATATGTGTTCTGGTTGTTTCTGAAGCATATTAATTCACACATGGCAAACATCGAGGTGCATGTATTGTTTTTTAAACACTTAAATGTTTTTTAAGGAGTATATATATATATATATATATATATATATATATATATATATATATATATATATATATATATATATATATATATATGCTATTATATTTGAGGTGTAACATGTTTGATGAGACTTAAGTTGCATAATGCATTAATATTTGGATTTTATCTCGTTTGTAGAGAGTAGAGACATTAATGTGTATGGGATCTTGAGATTGAAGCACAAGTGACGGAAGAGGTAAACGGTAAAACCAACATTATTCATTACCGATGATGTCCGGAGGAAAGTGAGTTACACAGCTTATTGGGATACACCAACATATATCGCGAAAGAAGAGATAAGATAAACAAAATCATGGGAAGAGTGAAGGGGCATAAGCCATAACTCAGAATGGTTGTTCTCTCAGAACTTTCAGTTTCAGAAGGTTCTTCATCCTCTTCATCAGCTCAAACTCATAGATATGACATATTTTTAAGCTTTAGAGGTGTTGACACTCGTCATAATTTCACTAATCACCTTTACAACGCCCTCATGCATGCCAATATCACTACCTTTTTGGACGATGAAGAGATTGAAACCGGGGAAGATCTAAAACCAGAATTGGAGAGTGCCATTAAAGCATCTAGAGCTTCTATTATCGTGTTGTCCAAAAATTATGCTACTTCGACGTGGTGTCTTGATGAACTGGTGTTGATCCTTGAGCAACGTATGACATCCAATCATATTGTCATCCCCATCTTTTATCATGTTGAGCCCACCCATGTCAGGAAGCAAGAAGGTAGCTTTGGAGATGCAATGGCTAAGCATAGACAGAAGATGGAGGCAGAGTCAAATTTAAATAAAAGAAATCAATGGGCTGAAAAGATAGAGCTTTGGAATAAAGCGCTTAGAGAAGTTGCTGATTTAAAAGGGAAGGATGCAAACGGCAGGTAATCACTTTCTTACTCATATTTGCATACTTCCTTTTTTGCACAATAAGACTTTTACTAAAGCTAGCGAGAAGCTAGAAAAAAAAAACAGATTACATTGGGTTAATTAACAGATAACAATACCAATTTAACTGCCCTGTCCCTTTTCCTCTACATCTATACTACATAAAAGAAGTAAGCTTTACATCAGACACAAGAAGAGCAGAACATTTGATCTTGCACCTAGAAATAACCTCGTAACTATTTTTCCACATTCCTTTAATATTGTTAAACTAGTGCATGAAAATTCAACATTATCTTCTCCTTATGCATTTCAATGTCTCCTCCGTATCTTCTCCTTTAATACCTTTTGGAATGATAGATCTAGTAGCCAGCTAGTTTCAAGTTAGTTAGGAGTTTGTTAGCTCTAAGGGCCTTTTAGTAATTTTGTATTGTTACAGTTATTTATCTATTATTGTATAATCTACTACTAAACTATTCCTAAATCCATCTATGTCTCAAACGAGACTTGAAACCTCAACCTTAAAGAGGGAAGACAAATATTGTTGGGCTAGAAGACCTTTGGTTAGCAGTGCAAATATGATATTTGTTATGATATGAAAAACTTAATTACATAATCGCTCAATATGATATAAATTTGATTTGGATCATTGGAAAAATTAAATATCTAGCATCACATGTTAATTGTTTTGATTGTGTTTTGTTGTTCTTACTAAAATCAAATTACAGGCTTGAGGTGGAGTTTATTAATGAAATTGTCAAGGACATCTTCCGTAGATTACACATATCATCAAGGTTTCCATTACCACAACTTATTGGGATGGAAGTTTCCATTTCATTCCTCACTTCATGGTTGAAGGATGCATCATCGCCTACCACAGATATAGTTACTATTTTAGGTATTGGTGGGATCGGGAAGACATCTTTAGCCAAATATGTCTACGCACTACATTCTCATGAATTTGACAGAAGCAGCTGCATTATAGACATAAGTAGGCGATGTGATAAAAAGTATAATGGAATGATTGATGTACAAAAACAACTCTATGCTGACATTTCCAAACCAAGTTCGGTAGTTCAAGTTCATGATGTTTCTATATACACCTCAATGATAGAGAAAGTACTAGCCAATAAAAAAGTGTTTCTAGTTCTTGATGATATTGGTAGTCTTGACCAGTTGGATGCGTTAGTTGGAAGCAAAGGTTTTCGTCCAGGAAGCAAAATTCTAATAACAACAAAGGACGCATGGTTGACACAAAGTTGTTCACTATTCAAAATGAAAATTAAACCCAAATATGCAGAACACAAGCTTGAAGGCTTATCTACTACTGAATCCCAAAAACTTTTGTGTTTTCATGCATTCATGTGTAATAATCCCAAGCCAGGTTATGAAGAGGTGTCTGAAAATCTTGTGAACTATTGTGAAGGACATCCAATGGCTCTTGAAATTTTGGGTAGGTCTCTACATAATCGAGAAGTAACTTATTGGGAGGGTTACATAGACAAACTAAAGAAAGAAAATGATTCCCCTATAAATAATGTGTTGAGAATGAGCATTGATTCTTTGGCATCAGAGAGTGATAAGAACTTATTTAAGTATATTGCTTGTATCTTTATTGGAATGGATAGAGATGTTACTAGAACAATATTAGAGGCATGCGATATAGAAACAAAAACAGGGATCACGAATCTCATCGACAAATGCCTTCTTAGTGTTGGAGATACTAATGAATTGATGATGCATCAATTGGTTCAAGAGATGGGAAGATTTTTGGTACGTGAAGAATCACTTTACAAACCATGGGAACGAAGTCGATTATGGGGTCATGAGTCATTTAGAGTATTGAAACAGGAAAAGGTAAGAGGACATATATACTTGTTTAAAGCAGTTTGTATTTCTATGCACATGCCTAACATTTTAAAATGTTTTTGCATCCCATTTCTTATTAGGGTACGGAAAATGTTCTAGGACTCACTCTTGATATGAGAATGCTTGAGAAAGAGAAGTTACATGGATCACTTGAGTTGAAAACAGATTCATTGAGTAAGATGGATAGGCTAATGTTGCTACAACTCAATTATGTGCAAATCAGCGGCTCTTACAAAAAATTTCCAGAAGAATTAAGATGGTTGTGTATGCATGGATTCCCTTTGAAATATATACCTTCTGACTTATCGATGGAGAATTTGGTTGCTCTTGACATGTCATATAGCAATATTGAATCATTGGAGATTTTCCATAGCTATCCACAACGACTTCATAAGAGGCTGAAGGTAACTTATTTCCATGTATTACTCTTCTAGTTCGTGTTGAAAACATTCACTATTAATGTAACCGATCTCTATTTCAGCAAATGATTGGATCGTGCTCAAAAGACAAAAGATTGCTTGGTTCGTTGAAGATTCTTAATTTAAGTTTTTGTGAACAGATTCGTAGTCTTCGTGGCTTTGACCACCTCCCTAAACTTGAGAGGTTAATACTCAAAGGGTGTATTGGTTTGCTGGAGGTTTGTGAATCAATTCAGCAATGCCTTGAACTTGCCCTCATTGATCTAAGCTATTGCAAGAAGCTGAAAAAACTTCCAAAAAGCTTAGGCAAATTAAAGAAAGTTAAAACACTATTGTTAAACGGTTGTCATCTTGGTGAATCTCAAATCAGGATTAGGGATATGGATTCCTCAGAAATGCTCAAGGCAAACAATATTGGCATAAACACTATAAGCTCTTCCTCCACTGTTGTGGAGGTTATGCCAAGTTATTCAAAGTTCTCTGTGATTTCTTTACCGAGATCTTTAGTGAGCTTATCACTTGAGAATAATAATTTGTCCTCTGAATCCTTTCCTATGGACTTCAGTTGCTTGCCTATGTTAAAGGAATTAACTTTAGATAAAAATCCTATTGTTTCCCTGCCCAGTTGTGTGAGAACCCTTCCTAGGCTTGAGATACTTAGTATGAGCGATTGTAAAATGCTGACAACATTTGAGCATCCACCACATACACTCACACATTTGAACCTTCATTCTAATAAGTGTTTTTTACGAAAAGTTGTATTTGATCCACAAATGTCCCCACTCAAGTTAGCACTAGGACGGAGGATCTTGGTACATTCATCATCTGAATTTGAAGGTGTGATCAAAATCCAACCAATTGCAGGTGTTGAGGAAAAAGTATTACATCGTCTGGGCTGGACTAAGCTAGACTTCCTGAACGGAAGGCACGTGACAACTTCTTCTACTTATGGGGAATCAGAGGAATCTGAAATCCAGGTTTTCTGTAGTTAATTATGTCTTTGTGTAAATATTAATGTATATACAACTAATGTGGTGATTAATGAAGGTGGTTGTATTTGGCAGATGTATTATGAATTTGGAATATTCAGCACAATTTATGGAGGCGAAGAGATGCCGAATTGGATTATAGATAGAAGCATGGGGCCATCTATATCATTTACCATCTCATCATCTACTAACAAGCTCACTGGATTAAATTTCTGTTGTGTGTTGGCATCTCCATTTCCCGATGAGGGGATTGAATTAGTAGATGATGTTCTCCTAGATTTGCCGGTGATCAAAATTTGTAATATAACAAAGAACCTCACCTGGATATACCAACATTACGTTGACAGTGTACTTGATATCGGTGGAAAGTGCTTGACATTGTTAAGCCATTGGATGTTTGGGATGAATGAGATGGAATGTGGTGACCACGTTACTATTATGGTGATGTGGGAACCAGATGATATTGGTGATGCAGTTATCAAGGAGTGTGGGGTTGGTTTTGTATATGATGATGGCAACATGGATGAGAAACAAGATGTGTTGGGTTATTACAAGTCATGGAATCATATTATTGGTCGAGATCTCACCGGATTTCAAACAACAACAGGCGAATACATCCTAAACAAAGATCGAATTTTGTGGCCTGCCCTTGATATAGTTCGACTAAACTATTATTATCTATGTGGAGAAGGCGCCCACTTTATAGGTAAATGTCATTCTTATATATCTACTACTTTTTAACTAAAGCTGATAACAGCTAAATGATAGTATTTTAATTCATGTTTTAGTTTTCAGCGATCATTGCCGAATTTCTAATCTATTTCTTTTCATTAGATAATGATTTTTACTTCAAAGCCTTGTCCTAAAGGAAGACTGGTGTACTTGAGGATGGCCGCTAAGGTACTTTTATCCCAAAAACCCTTTTCTTATAACATATATAAACTAGCACACAAATCAACTGGCAGTCCACTCAACAGACTTATATACACTTTGACTTGCCTGACCTTTCCTCATCTCTACAGCTCATCGAATCTAAGCAGTCTTCTTTCAGGTTTATTTATGTTTTCTAATGGAAATGAAGGTGCTTTTGGTTTTGGTGTTGTCTTGTCCCAGAGAGTTGGATCTACAAAACATGCATGTTCAAAATTTATACAATGCTAGGTTAGATATATTTTGTGTACATATTTATCTCGTTTTGTCGAAACACAAGCCTTTTTCACAACAACATTCATCAATGGACACACCCTTTTGTGTTAAATTGTTAATAACTGATATTATGTTCAACATTAACTAATATATACTCACAATATTCTGCCACAAACAGAGGCAGAGGCAGGGTTGTTGGATTTCAGGTCAACGTTAATAATAAAAACTTCAAAAGTTAAATGTGGACAATTTTTGTTGGATTTAATTTTGGACGGAGGTAGTACAATATTTGTTCATAGTCATATGGAATAAAACCTGCAAACATTGATTGTCTTATTCGTAGCCAAGGCTCTTAACAGCAGTTCACTAAAAGTGTAAAGGAGGAAATATACATTACTCTATTTTAATTTCAAAATTCTCTATAAGACGATATCATTCACTTTTGAACTGTTCAACATAAAAACAAAAATATGAAATTACTAAAATGTGGAAGTTAAAATATGGCAAGGCAGAAACTAAACACTTATTGTAATCTAAGATATGAAAGACCTAAATATGGAACATATGAAATAAAAATCCAATATTACAAAATTATTATAATTATGGAAAGTTCCCCATTCTTAAATAAATGCTTATAATTATTTATGCAATGAGGTTTTTCATTTTTTTTTCTAATTCTTATCACATTTTTTTTTCGGAGAAACCATGTTTGATTATAGACAAATTTACATAAATGGACCTTATGGTTGATAAAACCAACCAACTTTAGTCTTTATAAAACTTGTAGAAAGTCTTGTTGGTTAACAATGTTAAGTTATTCAGTTAAGTCTACATTTGCTCTTATGGCCATAAGATCATTAATGTTTTCCTAGGGATCATTTATGTAATTTTGTCTATTATTTATTATTGTTTTTACTTAATTTATTTGTACTTTTTATAATTTAGATTTTTTGATGTTTTGTTCAAATCTATTATTTAATGTTTTTTTAATGTTATTGCTTAAATTTTTTGATGTTTTTATTCGAGTAAGCTTTTCTATTTTTTGACATTTTTTTCAAATACATTTATTAATGTTTTTTTTACTTTTTGTTCAAGGAACTTTTTTCTATTCCTTTTGAAGTTTTGTTAATAGACTAAATTTTTAACGTGTAATTGGAATCTGGCACAACTTACTCGCAGAATTATCACTCTAACCCACTTAACAAGTTTCATGGTTAACTTGGTTAATTTTTTTTTGCAAAATCAGTTCTAAAAAGTTCAAATTGAATCCCTGAGATTTGCAAACAATTACACGAGCTGGTTTTTTAAGCTTCTTTTTTGTTTTTTGTAAACTTTATTTATTTTTGTTTTTTTATAAATATATACACATTATTTATTTATTTTTATATATTTTATTTATTTTCATTTTTTAACTTGATTTTTCAACAATTTTTTTTACCTTTTATTTTCTATTTTAGTTATTTATTTTTTTTTCTAATGTTTTTATTTATTTTGATTCAAGTAAACGAACTTGAATTTAATTTAAATTACTATAAAAAGTTTTTTTTATAGAGACCGACTATTATTATATTTTTTAGTTCTTTCTTTTAATCTTTTATCAAATTGAAAGATATTATCTTGAATTTAAAGTATTGATATCACATATAGAAATATGATTTAATTTGCAAGTTATATAACACATTGAAAAACTAATTCTCAATAAACAAGCTAATTTTTTAATTTCATTTCTTCGTAACATAAATATAATAGCACTAAAGAAAAAAAAATAAACAGAAAATAAGTTTGACCGAAATTACAAATATTAACATAACTATTTTATTTGCTTGAAAAAAATAAAAAAATTACACAAAACTATAAATTATCAAAATTATAATATACTCTAATATATTAATACATTTTACATTTTTCGAAAAAGGTCAATAAAAAAGTTCAAAATAAAAAAAAATAAAAAAATAAAAATAAAAAAAATAATTGGAAAACAAATAAGAAAAAATAAATAAATTAAAAGGTGAAAAAATTAAAAATATAATACGAAAAGAAAATTGAAAAAAAAAACTATAATATATTCTATATATACACGAAAAAATAGAAAACAAAAGGTAAAAAAAAATCAAATTGTTGAAAAGTAAAAAAAAATGAAAATAAATAAGTGTATATAAAAAAGAAAATAATATATATATATATATATATATATATATATATATATATATATATATATTATATATATATATATATATAACCCAAAAATAAATAAAGTATACAAAAAACGAAAAATAAAGTTAAAATATCATGTTGTGTAATTTTTTGCAAACCTCAGGGACTAATGATTTTGTAAAAAAGTTAACCAAGTTAACCATGAAACTCATTAAGTGGGCTAGAGCAATAATTATGTAGAAAGTTGTGGCCATAACAATAATAAAAAAAATATTAGGGCTTTTTCCAATTATGCGTCAAAAATTTAGGGCTTTTATAATATTAGTCAATTTTCTTATTATGTTATGTTTATTTATATTTGTTAAAATTTTCATGGCTACTATGATCATATTATTTCAAAAATTAAAGTCTTACGTTGCTATATTTTCTAGTTTTTGAAACTATTTTTTTAACTAAAACTCAACACCAACGCTCTCCACTAGGACCCTCCTGTATTTCCATAATTACGCTGGCCTTGCCCACGGGTCCTACCCGTATATACAATGGAGCGGGCTCACCCATGGGTCCCACCCATCTAGAGCTACGCATGCCCGACTCCGCCTCAGGCCCCAATGGTCCTTAACCTAAACAGAGAACACTGCTCGGTAATCCTGACCGGTGCGCCCAAAGCACAAATTGATTTTCCCTTTTTCACACATGACCATCGCCATCGATAGTCAATCACGGACTGGTGAATGCTACGATCCCATCACAATCTTACAACACTTCTAACCAACCATGGTTACCACCCATGGCCTTACCACACCCTAACCATCACAAATGCACGCCTCTTGAACCGAAACCTGCATCCAAACAGATGTTTGGGTCATGCTTCGAATCCTGAATCCCTCAACACGACTCACCCACAAGCGTGTTGTGTATAATACAGAAGACACTGGCCAATGATTGGATGTTTCTTGAACCCCCGCTTACATAACCTCAATATGAATGGCCACTAAGGTTTTCTTTCTCCCTGGCCAGGATGTGAAACTTTCCCTAGTTCCACATCCTTACAGACTTCCGTAAATTCTAATCGAATCTCCCCCACTTGGATTAGACGAAGCTCTTTCATCTCTTAAATCTTGATGGATTCCCAACCCATCAACCTCATACAGCCTGAACCGCCTATGACATGTGCTAGTCAATACCAGCATCCCATTACAACCAAGTACAATGATCGTCCAACTTCTAAAATCCGGGAGAATACTCTAGAGACCTTAACAAGTCTGATAATTCAAATCACTTCTCATGATACCATACCCTTATCCCAAACTGACGAATCTTCACCCTAACTTCCATTCTCGAAGAACCAACGAACTCTAATCGTCTACAACCCATGCAATCATACAACTCCCTTGACATTTCTAATGACCAAATAACTCATGCAACTAAGACCACCATCTTCTTGTTACCGCTCCTCTCCTATCAACGGTAGTGCTTGAACCCAACAGTTATTCCATAGGCAAATGCCGATCATACTAGAACAGATGACAAACAACAAAATTCTAACTTCAATCGAGAACTAACCTGCTAACCCTATACAAAGATCCTCCAAAAAATACCCCTGAATTGATCCTGACAAAATTCATAAAATAATTGAGCACGTTGAAACCCACTCAACAAGATACGACCCTCTGAAGATTTATCAAAGACTCTCGGCATGCAAAATTTCATATAATAATCCTTGATAACCTATGCAATAGCACAGAACCGACCCGAGAGATAACTTAACCCAAGAAAAATCCAACGCAATACAAAGTCCCTATATAAACCTATAAGAAAATAGAAGATGGCATACCCGCAAAAGTATCTGAAGGAATCCCGACATCCTCCTCTTCCTGAATTACCCTGACCGTCCTGAGGTCATGGAGAAAAACTCACCTCTAATTTCAAATGGCAAGAACTAACAATAGGATCCTCCTTCCTGGTGGATTCTAGGGATCCACAACTTTGGGCTCTAGATGAGCCTCCAACTGCTCTACCACAATACCAGCCTGAAAGGCCCCGAGATGACCATCAAAGAACTCCATAATCCTATCCTTGGATGAACCAAAGACTACCGAGGTCCAATCCGAAACATTACGAGTAATATCTGATGGGATGAACTCCTATGACCGCGCATCGATCGGTTGAGTACCTACTCTTGAGCTAGAACCAGACTCTGAATCCCATTCCTAAGTGCTCAATACCATACCGAAAAACATGCAAAATATCTGAATATACCCAACAATACTCAACCCACAGGCTTCTGAGATTCTCCAGGACTCTAACGATTCGAATATGAATATTGTGCTTTCAGTAGTACGAGCCCAATACTACCTTCCACACCTATCCATACTTTCCTGAAGAATTCTCCCAGATCCTCCAAGTCACCTTCTCAAATCCATATACCAAACTCTTGCTACCTAGCACAACAAAATGCAACGAAGCAATCCCTATGCCTTCCTAGGTTCCCGACCTCACCCTGTCATCAGCTACTGAGGAACTCCTCATAATGTCATTTAGGTACCTTATGAATACGATCACATACAACAAAGCTTAGATAATCCTTCGAGTAACAGACTCATCTCTACAACGATTGGACTCAGAAAAGAGCTACACAATGGGTTCAAATCCATTACTCTGAGATTATGCAACATTTCTTACATGTGACTTGATATATTCACTTAGTAGCTGACTGTCACGCCCCGACCGATGGCGAAAATCATCGGGGTTGCGACGTCATACAACTGGATCACAGTCAACCACATATATAGAATACTTAACATATTTGAATCAATATTTTAAAAACCTTTAAGTTTTGGAATTGAAATTACATCTTCATTTTAAACACACCACGGTAAACAAGTTAAGTCTATTCCAAATAAAAAGGAAGTATAATTTCCTTAGAACTGATGTCCTACCTCTAGCTTCTTAGTTACCTGAGAATACACATTTTTATAATACGCCAACAAAAATTGGTGGTGAGTTCCACAGGTTTTGACTCTGTGAGTTTTATAACAAGAAATCTTTATAAAACGTTGAATGTTTAACAAAATAAGTTGTGTAAAACATGGTCAACAATGTTATCGATATGCTTCGTGTGAGACCCGATACTTGAAATCTGATACGAGTATCCATGTAAAAATACTTATGATAAAAGTATATATTAACATATTTTGTGAAGCAAAATATTTATTATTTGTATAAATAGACACTGACAATCGGTTTAACAATCTACCAACAATAGTTATACTACATACAACCTCATCCTAGTGTGTATTAGTATATTTGTATCTAGGAGTTTCATATAATTCACGATTGTTTGAGTTAGAATAATTTTGTTTGTAATGCTTAATAATGTAAAGCTACCAAAGTTCTATTGGGAAAACAGTCGTATGTGTCCCTATACGACCGGGACAATGGTCATATGTGTCCCTATACGAGTTTAAACAGTACGTCGACTGTAAGTGACCATATACATGTTTAGACAGTACTCCGACTGTAAGTGACCATAACAATTGTTTAGACAGTACTCCGACTGTAAGTGACTAACAAAGTTTATACAACACCCCGGCTGTGAGTGACCAACATCGACATAGTTCAAATCATCTTATGTTATAAGGTTGTCAACATGATCATATTAGAAATAATTGTCATACTTTTACTTTTGTAACTCTTAAAGTATGTGTGAATTAAAAAATATTATAATTGGTGTATTTCTCATTTACAACAAAACTTTGTATATATATTTGAAAAACCAAACAGCAAGGTAAATCAAAAGGGCAATTTTGTCCATGTTTTTAGAAAAATAATAGAAAAATCATCGTAAGTCGAAATTTGGATCCGTAAACTCCCAGAGCTTAGATATGTTTAGTGACATAACTTGTATTTTTAGTTTGAAAATCCTTTAAATCATCCAACTAAGATTTTTTTTAGTGTGTATTATCCCCCAAAACTTGTAAAACATAAAATAGGGGCCGTAGAAAACTCACTTTTGTCGCGTAGAATTAGTCGGTTTGAGAATGGTTTGTACGGTTTTCGGTTCCACTCAAGCTCATGATATGAGTATTCTTTTGGATGCTTTAACACATAAATACATATATTTACATGTATGTTAGACTTTTATGATGTCTTAAATCATTTAAAACCAGTGGACTTGATGATAAAAAAAAAGAGTAGAAATCAAGAATATACCTAGCTTTAAGTTGGATATAAAGTATGTTGCCAAAAGGTGGTGGAAAACACAATCTTTTTGAGAGGTTAAAGGGTACCTTTCACAGGGGTTTTAAGTGTTTGAAAGTAGCTATACATTGTATACTTTAAATCTCGAAAATGGACAGTAAGATGAAGAACTTTTGGGTGTTGGTTTGATGCTCGAAAATAGAGACTGTTTTGGCTATGTTGCTGTCAAGAAACTTTCTCAGCAAGAAGGTAAAATACGAATAGTTTAGCCACTGATTTGAGGCCCTAATTTAGAGTAGCATATCAACTAACTTCCTGGGGTATTTGGTGGTTAAAAAATTAAGAAAAAGTAAGGTGTAGATGTGTGAAATTGTGGCTGAAACATCAAGGGACAGTAGCCCCTTAAGGTTCATGGTTTTGAAGACTTTGGAAGGGAGTTTGTGTGATTGAAATGGGATGAACTTTGAGAGAATTGTCTGGACTATTTTATGGAGAATGAATTAAGAAAGGAGAGAGGGATTTCTATATTTGTAGGAAAGAGGGATTAAATAGGGTTGGTTGGTTGGTTAGAGATATTTGTCTAGCCAATTGTTTAGTTGGTTGGTTAGAGATAGGGTTAGTTAACTAACTAGCTATTAGTTAGTTAGTTAGTTAGTTAGATATTCTAGTTATGGAGAGGGAAGCTACAAAATCTCAAAAATTAGAAGAGGGATTCAGAAGTATTCTTAGCAAAATGTCTGAAGTGATTAAGCACTTATTAATTAACTTGACACTTATCTCAACCATTTCTCTTAACTTAATTGATTTAGACACAATATTCCTTACACTAAATCACTTTAAGGCATGGCCCATAAATAGTCATCTACTAGATAATAATACATATGTACAAATACATACATGTATTCTTGGTATAAACTAACAATGTAGTTTTTGTATATTTGAACTTAAATGTTTATGTTTTATTCTTTTTATTCAAAAACACTTAAATACATTCTAATTACGCCTTATAATAATTCATTTTATATTTTTATTAATCAAATATAAAATTTATTGACCAAGGTACAATTCTGTGACATTTAAACTATAACATCCATAAAATTCACAGAAAAATTAAAAATTTTCAAACAATCCAAAACCATTATCTATTACAAAATGTTTTTAAAATAGTTTCATATCAAAGTATCCCATAAATCCAAGTCATAAAATGTGAGGAAGTGTACGGTCACACCTTCGCTTTCCCACGATCATCAAAAGTACCTAAAACAATACTCATAAATGTAAACTCAAAGGCTAAGTGAGTTACCTCCAAAATACAAACGCCATACAAACCAGAACAATATCATATCAAACAGTATGCATACATGGTTTACAGTATAACTGGACCGTCCGCCCCGGGCCTTCAGTCTATCTGGTCCACTCTCAGAACCTTCAGCATGTCTGGTCCGCCCTTACCGTACCTACAGTCCGACTGGACCGTTCTCCGGGCCTTCAGCTTGACTGGTCCGCCCGCACTGGGCTTTCAGTCTATCCAAGGCGCTCTAGGTCTATTAGTCTTCTGCACAAAGCAGGACAACCTCAACCCAACTACAATAAAAAAATCAACACATACATCTTAAAGGCTAGCTAGCATGCACAGAAAATCAAACTTATCACTAAGCATAATACCATCCTATCTACCAGGATGCAGATCTTATGGATCACTAAGCATAATACCATATTATCTACCAGGATGCAGATCTAACAGATCATTAATCATATCATGAAACGATAAACCAGGATACAATCCATAAAGAGTCGGCCTTGGTGCCTTAGACCCTGTTGATATAGTGATGAGAACTCACCTCACATTACTGAAGTCCCGCGGACAAAACCCTAGCTGCTAGATGACAGATTTCCGAACTGTCAACATCAAAACAACACCCAGTTAATAATTGGGTTCCAATACATAACCATAAGTCCATGCTTGGGGTAAAAATACTACTTTACCCCCAACATAGCTTGATTCAAGCCCAAGGCCCAAACTCACACACCAAAGGCCCAAAAGTCAACCAATGAACCAAAGCCCAACATATGGCCCAATTTTCCAAATTGGACCCAAACCTTTACATGGTCTTACCCTAAGGCCCAACCATTTATTCTAGTCCCAAAATGTGGCATTCCGATGGTCCAATATCTCATAATCATCAAGACCCAATTATGTCCCATCTGTGGCCAATTTTCCAAACTGGGCCTACACCCCTCACATAGGCCTTACCCTAAAGCCCATCCAAATACTCTAGTCCATATACATGTTCTTGGATGGCCCATCAAGAGCCCAATCACCAAAGCCCAATAGAAAGGCCCAACTCAAGTCCCAAGCAAAATTAGGGTTTTCACAAAAAATGACGATTAGGGTTAAGTGTTCGTACTTAACCCGTTAACGACTTAATTAATTAATTCCATCACTCTACTAGGTCAAACATACAATATGGTCAGGATTAATTCATAATTCCATTCCAATGGTCCAAACATGCATGTCCCGACAATTCCAAATTAACATATCAAAAATTAGGGTTTAATAAACCCTAATTAGGGTTTCCAACCCAATCGCGTTCCAATTAGTCCATTTGTTAGGTTTTAGGTTAAAATATGTTAATTAGGTCGGGTACCACCCACTACCACCTCGATTAGTGGTGGTCAACGGCGGCTCACGGTGGCGGCCACCACCTCGTGGTGGAGGTGGTTAGGATTCTAGACCAAAACATGACCAAGCAATTCAAAAGGCAATCCAAGCACACATAAATGCACACATAAATGCACACTGCCACCCAACACGACAGATAGTGGTGCTAGAAGGCGGCAGCCACCTCCTCACGGTGGTGGTGGTGGTGGGTTTCTTCAGATTTTCCATCCAATAATATACATACAACATATTATCTAAATGAAATACAAACATAATATAACACACACATGCTCATCCACCCTTGTAGCGGCAGGCGGTGGTCGGAGATGCTAGCCACCACCTCACGGTGGTGGTGATGGCTTCACTTTTTACATTTCCGATCCAACAAAACACACAGACACACCTTTTTGCTTAGAGCATGAACCCAACCACCCACGTAATGGCGTATGGCGACGGCAGTGGGTGGAACAACAGCTACAGTGGTGGCAGTGGTTGTAGTTGTGACGTAGCAATATGAGAATAGGGAAGGGAACGAGCGGGGACCACAACGAACAATAACAAAGCTAACTGTTGGCAATAGCGGCGGCTTCGTCCTCAAAGATTAGGGCGAAACGACAGAAGCAATGCAACAATGGGAGAAAGTTGGTACGTCTTCAACCGAGAAGGATGGTGGCTCCACCACGATTTCGTTTCTATGGCGGTAGGATGGTCGCGGTGGCTGGTTTGTGACCTCAACAACGGTGGTGGTGGTGCCGCATATTGTAGAAGTGAAGGTAGCGACCAGAGGTGAAGGAAGATATAGGGTGGCGGATGAAAAAACTTCCTAGGGTTAGGGTTACGGACGAGGTGACGGGTTCACCACTAGAAATCAGCCCTTTAATGACATGGAAACAATGACACACGTTGTTAGAGGACACGCATTTGTGCGTACCCTAAAAAATAATGTCAGTTTTACAAAATTTGAAGGATAGAGGACACACATTTGCATGTGCCCTAAAATTAATGTCCACTGAAAAAAAATTAAAAACATGGAAGGCACCTAAATTTTAGTGGGTGTCGTGTAGAGATGTCGTTTTATAAAATTTTAATACGTGCATCCCTTATTGATGCAACCAACGGGGGAAACCAAATCACAAAAAATTCAAGTACCCCGCCTTCCCCAAAAATTGAACCTCACAATATCTTTCATGGAGTTGGCGATTAGAGGTCTACAACTCTTCAAACTCAAAACGCCGGCGATTTTAAGGTTCTTCTTGTCCCCGATATCAAAGAACTAGGGCTTTTATGCTATGGACCTCACAATTGGGTGTCGTTCTTCCCTTTCTTAATTATCAATCAACAGCCATAGCCTCCAAAATTAATACCTTCCTTCTCCCTTTAATCAATCGGATGTCTTCTTCCCTCTTCACACTTCGATCGACAAACCAGGTCACCTAAAATCACCACTTATCTTTTTTCCTTTCTCAAAATTGATCACGCCTTCATGAACGACAGGTATTGTTTTTTCCTTTTTTGGTTCAGTTACATCCCCTTCTTCTCCCTTCTTGTTATTTCTTTTTTTTTCGATTTGAATGTGAGGTTGTGCGGTGGCGCTTCAAGGTTGTGCGGTGGCGCTCCAAGAACGACAGGTATTGTTTTTTACCTTTTTTTTCAATTTTGAGTTTCAGTTTTCAGGGTTAATTGCAAGAAAAATAAATAAATTTTCATTTGTTTTCTTTGATCTGTGTTCTTAGGAGCTTTGTGAGGTTCCATGATGAAAAAAAAGCCAGCATTTTCTACAACAAGATACGGCTTACAGGTTCTTCTTACACTCAAAACATTTACGCCTTTCTTGATGAAAAAAGTCAACTTTGTTTATATGCCCACTTATATGACCTTGGAAGGGCTTTAAACTTTCAATATTTTCACAAAAACTTGCAATATTTTGGCATCAAACTCCTTACTTGGTGGGTACTTGGGCAAACTTCAAGGGTGGCAAGGTAAAGGCTTTGGTGTTCCAAAAAGAACATGGACTAACGTATCAAGACACTAACCCTTTACCTATTTTGCCCTTCTTTTTTATCCTTTCAAGTCAAAATTGATGAGTATTGTGGAATTTGTCTTTTGGGAAGTAAGGGTAAGATGGTCATTAATGTACCTCACTATGCAGTACAGAAGAAGAAGATCCTCGGTTATGAGGTTCAACTGCAAGGAGAGAATCCAAAAGCATTAAACCTAACACTTTCTGGATCCATCTTAGTGAACCTTACCTTCTTTAAAGCAACAATCTTTCTAGTCACCTAAACATATATATATATATATATATATATATATATATATATATATATATATATATATATATATATATATATATAAAAGTTTTGTAAATATATCTTCTACTTCAGTTACAAAAAAAATAAAAATTATCCATAAACTTCCATGGAAAAATACTCTTTTACCTTATATAAGAAAGGTGTTCTGCATTTGTTTTTGTAATTTTGGTCTTGAGACTTGAATATAGCAGATTTATTCAATTTTGGTGCTTATTTTGAAAATGGTTTTTTGCCCTTGGGTCAAACCTGAAACAAACAGTATACCACAGGGAACAAATTTTTAATTTCGTATCATTTAATGAAGGGTTGCAAAAATGCTCATAAAAAAATAACAGAAACTATTAATAGGTAAATTACAAATTTGGTCTCAGTGGTCTACATTTTTCGGCTTTGGTACAACTGTGCAAGGGCAAAAAGGCCATTTAAAAAAAATCAAAGCTAAGCTATTAGCTTAGATCACACAGGGACCAAAATTGATAAAAACTTCAAAATAAGGACAAAATTTCTAAGAGGAGCTTCGGGACTAAAATTGCAAATATTAGCTATACTTAGGGACCAATAAAGTAATTTATTCTATTATTCAAGTTGAATAAGATGCACCAAAAAATCCAAAAGGTCAAGCTACACACCTTTTTTTGGAGAAAAAAAATGTAATTATGATTAGCAAAAAAAACAAAAATTACCTTATTCTCCTTTAAACCAGATATATGGTTAACCATTTGTTTAATCCATGTAGGAGAAAATGAGTTTCCCGAGTCAAAAAGATGACATTACCCTTCTTCACACCCACATTTGAGGAAACTTGAAAGCAAACCTATACAATTGTCTGAAATCATAATAAAAATTTCATGATAAATAGAATGAAATACATACACACACATACACACACAAACACACACACACACATATATATATATATATATATATATATATTTGTAATGACATGGATTTAATTCTAACTTGTGTTTTTCCAGATGATGATGGACCTACTAGCTCTGTTCCATGTCCCTCACGCAATCCATTTGGAGTAACACATCAAAGCTGGTTCATTTACATTAAGTCAACAACTTTTCTTGATGGTACTTCCGTAATTAAATAAAAAAAACATTATTATTAAAATGAAAAAAGCCATATATTGGAACTTGGAACAAATTTTAGCTAAAAATCTAACCTGTTTTAATCTATCTGAACTAGAGAGTGTTTCTGCAAAAGCCATCAACATGGACACATCATGAACTAAGAAATCTTCAACTATGGAAATGAAAAACACTGAGTAGGTTCATCCTCCTGACAATTCTGATAATTATACATGTATATTAGACAGGTAAGAAGAATCTTTCAGGAACAGGATATTGTTAATTTGTTATGTTATGGAAGGATGATGAAAAGGTTGCAAAATTAAATAAGAATGAACAAAATATGTATATCTTTAACTTTTCAGGGAAAGCAGCACAGTAGACACGGAATCACTTTTTGTCATTTCAGGGAAATTGGTATGGTCCATTCGAATTGATCTTCACATAATCGAAAATGGAGGGTAAGTTATAGAACTATCTACCAATCCATGCATTTTATCCATTTTCTCAAGTTTTATTTGGTTAAATCTAAGAAATATCAACATACTTTGATTTATTCATATATCAGAGGCAGTTTGACCTGTTTGACAAGTCAATCTTCAGTTCCTATCCCTATCAACCCTACAAATAGTAACATTATTTCTACCAATAATGCCCTTGGTATTGGTCAAGCTTTAGAAATGGCTAAGATTCAGCTTCTTTAAATTCTCACCTTGAACTCAAGAAGCTTCTCATAGATAATAGCATTTTGGACGTGTATGTCATCATATTACATCCTCCAAATACTACCTTAACATATGTCTCTTTAAATCTCATATATTAGTTTTTTTGCAGCTCTCAATCTAATCTTGAAGCTAATTTGTTTAAGGTATATATATCTATCCCTGTCATCTACATTTTAGCCATGTCTGAGTTTTTACAGTATGCCACTTTCAAATCAAAGGCATAACCATAATTATGACTTTGGTTGCAGCTCGTGGAAAGGCGGGGCTATGGGCAAGAATATATAAATCGTTACAAGATGATGACAAGGTATTTCCCAACTCCCCTTTTGTCCCCTTTTATGAATTCTTAATTTCGTAATTAAGTCTTTATTTTCTATTTACAAGATGATGACAAGTTATTCTTGTATGTGGCACCACATGTGCTGGAAAGTTAACAATTGCTACCCAACTTGGTCAAAGGCTAAACTTGCCATATGTTTTACAAGTGAATCTTGATGTCCCTTTTTTTCTGTATTTCAAATACCGCTTTGAATTTTCTGAGTGCACCTAAAATTATGTTCAGCTTTGGCTGGTATTTTTTATGGCAATTCATTCGTTCTCATGTAGATACACGTATTCTTATCTTAATACAAACTACCATATAAATTGGGTTTTGCAAGACTTACTATAGGTTTGAAAAACTGGATTCATGTAACTTTTGCTACAAACCCGTCTTCTCTTGAAGAAGCTCTTGATAGAGTGAAGTCTTTTTTGCCAAAAGCATTCTCATCAGGAAAAGGTTCATATTCTCTTAAAATGGAAATTGTCAGGATAATTTAGTCATGGGTTTCTTTTAATGTTGTACATGTTTTGTTTTCTATAATAAATAGTATGCAATATTAGCAATGTGTTACATTTACTTACTATTGGAATGATTATTTGTATTTGACATATTAAAGCAATGAGTTATCTTTATTGTTTATGGTATTTTATTTTGTATTATGAGACTTTTAATGTGTGTTATTTAATTTGAAAATTAGTAAATCTATCAAAAATATATAATTTTAAAAACATTTAAAAATATGACACGCAAAAATGCATGTCATATTCCTTTATGAAAGGGGCTTTTTTTACGCATTGCGTGTCATAAACATGCGTGTCATAAGGTTATGACACACAAATGTGTGTCATCTTCCTTTATGACAGGGCCTTCCTTGATACACATTGTGTGTCATAACTGTGCATCGTCAATGCGTGTCATAAATGCACATCGTAAATGCACGTCGTAAATAGACGACGCGCAAAAGCGCGTCGTCTATTGTTATGACAAGGCCTTCCTTGACACGCATTTGCGCGTCGTCTGAACGTTTTACGACACACATTGCACGTCGTAAAAGGCTGTTATTCTAGTAGTGGTTATATACCTGGTAATATGCAACTTCATCCCATGTTGACACAATCAGTCACTCCTTTTCCTTTTTCTTTCAAATTAAGTCCAAATTTAACGAAATAGCCCTTCCTCTAGAGAATATTTTTATCTTAAGTCCATATATTACCATTCAGCCCCTTATCCTCCAAAATCCTTAAATTTTAAGTCCATTATTTACCAAACACTCCATGACTTCTGAAAATCTTTACAAAACCAATCCAAACTTACACTTTTAATCCCCAAATTTCAAAATTATGACGTTTAACTCCCTGAAGCCAACACCTTGCTAAATTATTATTGATTTTGGCTGCAATAATATAAAATAAAATGTAATGTACATCGCGGGGTTTTAGAATTTATTATTTATTTACTTATTTTATTTAAATTCAAATGAAATGTAACAACTCTCCCCCACTTCAATTAGATTTCGTCCTCGAAATCATTCCTTACCACTCCTGACATGACAAACAACTTGAGGAACATGGCGGCAACCACAAGCATACCATTTTCAAGGCAACCAAAACCATCCATCACAGGGTTCTAAAACCCATAGATGAATGAATTTCTTGCAACATGATCACATATACTCCGTATGAAATATGTAGTCTCGAGATGGTCTGACTCCCTAACAGACCGCCCATACTGAATCCTTATTGTTCAATCCAATCCACTTATCTCTCAATTAACTATTCAACTTCTGATAACTAGAGGTTCCCACTAGAAAACATAATCAGAGATCTAATTATCCCTACATATCACTTATACTTCGCTAAGGCACAGATAGTCCTTTGAGTAGAAGATCCCTCCCTGCAGCGGTTAGACTCAGACAAGAACTGTGCAATAGGGTCAAATCTAATACTCTGAGATTATTTAATACCACTGTGCGTGACTTAGCATTTCCCAAACACCCAGATACTTCTCTTACACACGAAAACCCAAATCACTAATACTGCCCTAAATACGGAAACTGTTCGAAATAGTAGGATGCCTTCTAGTTGCTTCCAAAACACACTGAGACCTCTGTGGTCCCAATTTATCTCAAATAATGAAGTCCTACCCGGGTGTTGAGCTGAGAGCAACCTCACAATCGCCGCACACGACTTCCGAGGAGAACTTTGGCTATCGAAATCTATCCTAACCATATTGTCACTCATGACTCTATTATTCCTTCTGATCTACCTGATCATAACAGTCTGACTACCTGTCGCCATCAAATCTAATACGAAAAGTGAATGTTACCATAATCATTGTAGTCTCACATCATTCCTAGTCTTCAATGACCTACCATTTCCTGATTCCAATCAAGCTGTGGTCTACCCATAATCTTGCGAACTGGCCCACCCTAGCCTAATCATGTAAAAGATTTCGTGAATGCTACAGGTCATCCTGCGGTCTCATAACACTTTCACCCCAACTAACTACTAGTGAATGCCATGGCTCCCCCATAGTCTTACAACACTTTCACCTCACCACATTCACATCCCTATGCCTTACTCCCAATCTATAAATCCAAATATACTCAGAGTCGAACACACGCTCGACCGAACACCCGAATTGAACTCAATTCAATAGTGGAACCCCAACCTAATTACCCAAATTCTGCTATAAAGCACCAAGAAGATGCGATTCACATGCTAGAGAGTTTTATCTAACTCCCAACTCACATCAGCCTTAAACAAAATAGCCACTTGGGCCGCTTTTGTATCGACTATATTCTCAAGGCACAGGAGAATTGAAGGATTCCCAATCCTTCATACCTTACAACAATCGAACTGATGACAACTAGCGCTTATTAACTAGTTCTCCATCACCAGCCAACCCTAAAAACCACACAACTTCTAGCGACCAGGTGAAGACCTCTTAAATCCCAGTGAAACTAATAGTCCCTAATACTTGAAATGATACCACACTCAAATCGCGAAGACCAAAAGATAGATGCTCCAACCAATACCTCAGCAACGAGCCACTTCCCTTAGCGCTTTCATCTGCCAATCAATAATGATTACTAAAACCACTTAATCCTGACAATGTTGAATAACCATCCTGTGGGACCCTGTCCGCACACCTCCCACATAATACCCCTGAACCGATCTTGACCATAATCCAAGTTAATACTGAACACTCCCAACCCGCAAATAGAGATATGACCTTTCATTAACCATTAATAATTCACAGCGTGCAAATAGAATATGTCATCACTTGAAGATATAACCGAACACAAGCAGGGTAACAAACCCAAATACACATTTACCCAAACCCTTGGAACGAAAAACTCCATCGTATAGTTTCCCGCAAGTGCTACACTGAATCTAACACCGCTGACCTCCCAAAAGTTGATCTGAAATCTTGGGTCTCTTCCCGGGACCCTCCAATATGTGCACCTAATTTGTTCCCCTCTTCCCAATGTGCTCCAAACCAGTCTCTCGCTCTCGGGCTCTATAAATCATATCATTCAGGGTCTCACACCCTAAGTCACTCACCAACTCAATCGTCCACAGTTGAACTATAGTAGCTGAAACAACCTCTACCCTAAACCAGGCTACAAACTATTCCCAAGATATAGTCTCTAATCCTGAAAGCGCAATAGGTTGCACAATTAATCTTGTCCGCCTGATACAAGAGATCCAAGGGGAACCGTACCTTAGCTCCTATGGGTAGGGACTGTTATTGTGTATGCCTCACAAGATACTCATGCCACATCGATCCACCTACACTTACCAGCACTGAAATAATGTCGCCAACTCCTACGACCAACTGACCCCGAGCCGGAATACCATTTGACCCTAGGGTCACAAGCCTAATCACTCCTTCGAACTTGGAAAGCTAACAGGGCACAATCCTTGGAATACCATTTGACCCTATACTACCTTCCACACCTATCCATCCTTTCCTCAAGAATCATCTCGGGTCCTCTAATTCCTACTCGTAAAATACTCCTAAAAACCTACTCAACAGCAAAACAACTACACTAAATGCTCCCTAGGCTATCCTAGGACTCACCACACCTCCTTTACCATCAGCTATTGAAGAACCCCTACCGACGCCAGCTAACCACTTCACGAATACAATTACTTATAACCAGGCTTAAATAATCCTTCGACAAAAGATTCAGACAAGAGTTGTGCAATAGGACCAAGTACTTTATCCGAAGACTATTTAACCCTCATAATGTAATTTTAATGTATTCATTTGTTGGTTAGATCCCATCAACATGGGTCCTATAAATCCTAGAGCAAGCAACATTTGAGCAGAGAAGCTGACTAGCACTAAGATGCAATAAAATCAGACATATTCTCCCATGAAATCCTCGATATCAGACTTCCAGCAC